TTTATTTTTGTACACACACATATTCTATCTAAGTGTACACTGTTCTTTGCTTAATACGTAATAATATATATTCTATTCTATTTTATATTACAAATATTTAGTAACAGTTAAGGTTAAATTTACTAATTTAACAAAATTAGACGGTTAGACAGAAATTAAGAAATTAGTCGTAGAACTGTGCGTTTGAATTACAATATGTAAAATGTAACTTACTCAGATTGCAGAGAGTGTGTGTTGTACTATTGTAAGAAGTGGTGGTAGGTAAAGTGTATTTAGAAATTTGCTTTCCTTGTTTAAAATTTTACCGCACGCCCCTGATATATTGTTTGGTTATTCTAAGTAGGTGCACCTACATTACTGGCCAGTTCAACTTTGATGTGGAATTAACATTTCGTAGTTTATTAGATTTCTATTTATTTTCTAAGCTAAGATAATTAAGGAGTGTATGATAGACTTTCCATTCTTCTATAAGTTAGATAGATTATTAAATGATGCCATACGACCTCAACAACAAGAACTGCGGTCCCCAAAGTATACCCACAAAACAAAATAGCAAATACTGATTTCAAATCTTGGTAAGTGATCTTTCTTATCTTTGACTGGTCGGATATAGTGGGCAGTTCTTGAAACCAGTTCTTTGAAAACTCCTGATTTGAATGGTACTTGATTGCGCACTTCCTCCAATGTTGAATTAAGCCTGCTTCAAACAGTCCCCCAATTTTTTTTACAATTGGTTTGTGTAGGTAATAATGTTTTCTGAAAATCACCGTCAGTGGATAAGACACAAGTGTTGATTCGGATAAGCAATTGATTGGTAGGTGGTAGGCGTTCAAATATCTGAAAGTAAGACAACACCACTTATTCCCATTGAGATACTATAATAAGAAATGCTAAATTAAGGCACTCTTAACTTACACCCTAATGGCGAACATAACATCACTTTCAAAGACTAAGGTATTCACATTATTAAGCATGGCCAATAAGAGTATTTTGATATTTTATGGTAGAATCAACATATCAAGTACAAATATTCCATTCATTTACTCTGCAATTGAAATATTTAAATGTTTGTAGATTACTGTACCTTATCTTCATTTTTGAAAGATTTGTCCACTGCTTAACTCAAATTGTACTTAATCATGTACAGGGTGATTCAAACTTGACGGCTAAGATCTACTGTGCCAAAACGAAAACTGATAATTAAATTCTAAACCTAGGGTCTCAAATGTGATGCACTAAGGTACACTTTCAACGAAAAGAAAAAAAGTATAGTAAATTCAGAATTTTTATTAATGACGTAATATACAACTTTTTCCCCATAAACATATCAATATTTTTTCACACCTCGTTAGCCTCTAGGACTGCGATTAACTTTTGCTTAAGGAAAAATTCTCTGCATATTTTGGCTTATCAGCCTTCAAATCGGAAAAAATTACCCCTGCAAGAAACGACACAAACCGGATTTAAATCGGACCTTAAGTTGGATCTTTCTTTTACTAAGGAATTGTTAATAGCGCAGGTTATTATTGGTAAATATTTCATAGCAAAGTTTATTTTATTTTTTCAAAATATTTTTTAAATATGTTTCCACGGTATGTAGCAAAATTAGTCGAAAATAAAGTTTGCGTGCCGGCAGCAGAAAAGTAAATGCTCTTTTACTACTACAATCTGAGACCATTATTAAATGCTGAAATTATGGTGTTTATTGAACCAGACTAACAAAATTTGTCGAAAATAAATTTAGCGTGCTCGCAGCAGAAAAGTAAGGGCACGTACAAGTAAATCCTCCCTACTACTAAAACCTGAGACCATTATTAAATGCTGAAAATATGGTGTTCATTGAACCAGACTAACAAAATTTGTCGAAAATAATTAAAAATATTTCATAT